ATATTTAATAGCCAGCTCCAAATTGCAATCCCATTATACTTAACATCAGTCGTGCTATTCCGTAAAAACAAATTTGCTTTCCACCGCTGAATCCGCGAATTTCAAATAATTTTTAAATAACTACAGCTAATTCCGCAGCGAAAAGTGAGTTTGTTTTTACGGAATAGCACGGCTGGTGGGTCGGACTAACTTACAAGACCTTTTATTAAACCTAAAAGCCCTTATTTTTAATGTCGATAACTTCAAAAGCCATTGTTGACATTTGAAACAGAACACTGTCACACATTTCAATATAAAACTGTATAGATAACAAACGGGTAATTACTGATCGATCTCGAAACATTTAAAACAATAGTGATGGCGATGGGCAGATAAGCGACGATATGTTTGAATGGTGCATGTCGATAATCTCGCCCTGCATTATTGATGAGCTCGACGCCGCTTCAATAGAATATGATGACACACGCCATTGTGGGCTTCCACCGCTTGTCATATTGATAATAATAAATTCACGATACAGGCATTTGTGATGATGACACTCTCGGCTTAACATTTTACTGATTTTATCGCTTATTCTGACCTTAGTTAGAATATTTGGAACCGATATGTCATCTAACATCCAAAAGAGGCATGAAAGTACCTAATGGAAGACCACGGTCAAATAACACTACTTCTTTATGGTGGTACTGTACTTTAAGTTGGTGAGTAAAATTCTAGGGCTCCACGGAATAGAGGATAAGATTCCGGCCACAAGGCTATAGCGGCACACTCTTTGGTACATCTTCACGACTGGATTCTACTTTAACTAAGCATCAAGTGGTGTGAACTATCATTTTTTTTGCCTTAATTTCAGAAGTGCACTCATAATTGAAACCCGATGTAAGAAATCAAGACTACCTTTTAGACACGTGAGATTGTTAAATTAATTCGAGTACACCAGTAAGCCCTCCAGCACATACGTGAAAACACAAGTTTCTTGACATAACGACTATTCACGTGAGAACGATGTATGTAAGACGCACCGCCCAATCACAAATCATCGATACGATATCGAATGAGCACATCTCTAAGCCAAATAATTTGTTGCGCCAGGTGACCAAATAATATTAATGGTAAGAGGCTAATGGTTTGCAGGCGGTTGGGATAGATCGATTCTTCGACTCATGAGTGGATCATAGATAGAGCTGGATATCTGATATTGAGATACGATAAATTCTGGTTACAATGACACAATATTCAATGGAATACATTTGAATGCATAAAGAAGAATATGGTAGCAAAACTTTAATTTTTTTCTCTTAAGATCTCAAGCATGTCTTAAGGGGTTTCGTCTATAGTTAAAGGACATGATTCTAATTTTGGAGGATGGTAGTCGGTCCGCGTTGTTTCGTCTATAGTTAAAGGACATGGTTCAAATTTTGGAGGATAGTAGTCGGTCTCCGGCAGACTCCAAATATTTTTGAGTTGTAGTTGGCACTTAATTGTAAATAATTTGACAAAAAACTAGAATTTATTTTATCCCCGTTTTTTATAATAAATATATATGAATATATATTTTTTAACACACCAGTTAGCCTAGCCCCAAAGTAAGCACTTTAAGGCTTGTGTTATAGGATGCTAAGGTAAACAGATAGAATACATATACTGTAAATATATAAGTATATTTTTATAGAAATACATATTAAACATCCATGATGGGGTACAAATGCTCGAGGTTCATCACACAAACATCTACCCCCACCGGGATTCGAACCCGGGACCTCTCGAGTCGGCGACACCATGAAACCCGGCGTACAAACCACTCGGCCACGGAGTTCGTCAAAGGTCGTTATTATAATCTATACTTATAATAAATCTGTAGAGCGGTCAATTCTGTACATGAAATATATTTTCAAAATAACTATCAGGGGGTGATTAGTGACCGATACTGATGCCAAAAATGCAATCAGTAAAAATTTTGTCTGTCTGTGTGTATGTTCCTTATAGAAACAAAAACTACTCAACGGATTTTAACGAAACTTGGTACAATTATTCTTCATACTCCTGGGCAGGTTATAGTATACTTTTCATCACGCTACAATCAATAGGAGCAGAGTAGTGAAGGGAAATGTTGGGAAAACGGGAGAAGTTACTCCATTTTTTCAGCTTCCGTCGCGTGGGCAGCCTTAATGGTTAAAGTTATATAGAAATGATGTATGACGGAAATATTCTCCATAAAATTGTCTAAAAAATATCCCGCAACAGCATATGTCTATCTTTTATGGTTGACTCACAATAACACGTGTAATTCCTGATAGCTTAGCAGTTCGGAGCATTCCGATTATATAACGTAAATATGAGAATTTTAGTTTGATTATAAATACAGGTAATAAAAATGACCGTTTTATCTATATCTTTATATATATAATTCTTCTGTGAGTGTGTATGTCACTGAACTTCTCTTAAACGACTGGACCGATTTTGATGAAATTTTTTGTGTGTGTGCAAGGGGATCTGAGAATGGTTTACATTCACAAAGACGTGTAGACAGGACAACGTCTGTCGGGTCCGCTAGTATGTATATAAAAGTCAAAGGGGACTGACTGACATAGTGATCTATCAACGCACAGCCCAAACCACTGGACGGATCGGGCTGAAATTTGGCATGCAGGTAGATGTTATGACGTAGGCATCCGCTAAGAAAGGATTTTGATCAATTCTACCCCCAAGGGGATAAAATAGGGAATGAAAGTTTGTATGAAACTTTGTCAATTTTAAACCAATCGGGCTGAGAGTTTGCATGCAGGTATAAGAAGAATCATAGATGGATGTCATTGTATTTAATACAAGCCTGAGAAAAAAAACTATAGTGTACACTTCAGCTCTACACCGAAGCGAAGCGAGGGCGGGCCGCTAGTATATAATAATTATTGATTGGCAAATGGCAAATTTATTGATCTAGTTTTTTGTTGCCAAAGCATCAAATATATTGTGTTCAATAGGTAACTAAAGCAGTGATAATTTATTCTGTTTGAAACAAGTATTCAAATAATATATGTTTCGTCGCTGCCAGATACCGACTAGGTACCACTTTTGAACCGTCTCCTTTAACTATACATATAGTTAGTGTTTATTTTTTCTCTAATATATTAACTTTAGTAAATTTAATTAAAGATGAAACAGCGATGCCTAAAAACTATAGAAGGCACCAACTAGTAAACCGACATCCCTAATTTCTGATTGTTAACATTAACAAAAGAATAACTTATTTATTTATTAACTTACCTTCAGGATATTTGAGGACGCTCGCTGGACAAATTCTTATATTATCATAAAAATCATAATGGATACACCGTATGGAACCTTATAAGTATCTATCAAACCATTGAAACACTGCCAACCCCCAAAAGATAAAATGGTGTGATTAGCTTCCAGCCGCGATATCTTCCGCATTATGTTAAGATTTTTTGAGAATCCTGTTGTGTAGCAACAAAATAAAACTAGATAGGAAGGAAGGAAAAATCAAAAGAACAGTATAGGAATATATATTTACAAGATAAAATAGTATTTACAGATTATTAAAAAAAAAATATGGAATATGTGTGTAGTGTGAGTTGTGAAGTGGGCGTGGGTCGTCGGCGATCTTCAGGGGCGGCTTGAACGGTAGGTCGTGCTACAGGTAGATGGACGGCGCTCCTTGGAGGCAGAAGCGCTCCTGTGCAGCCGTCTAAGTTCTTGGCCTCCCCTGGTCGTTGCTGGCGGCGCTGCTGGTAGTTTGGCCGGCGTATATCGGCCAGAGGCGGGCGTTGAAGAAACGGCAGGAGTCGGTAGAAGGCGGGCTGAAGCAGCTGGAGGCTGGCCGAAGAAGCTGGAGACCAGGCGCAGTCCCACCGATGAGGTTGCGAGAACGTGTATAGTAGTATAGTATTGGAGTTAGGAAGTTGTTTAAAGAGCCAATAGGTGCTAAAAAGCTTTGAGGTCTTTCTTGAGGCCTTTTATTAATTTAGAGCTCGGTAGCGAGCTTTCAAAAGTTGAGTAGGCAACTTTTGCCGTAGAATTGAATGAAAGATCAGGGTGGCTCGGCCTTTTATAGGTCCGGAACCATTTGAATTTAGACACGGTTCGAATCGAGCCAAAAAGAATCAAAGTAAGTGGTCTGTGGAGGTTGAATAGTCATAGACGTAGTTGGAGAGAGTATCCGTGTCATGGGTAGCCATGGCAACGGATAAAAAACATTAGGTTGTCATAAAATGTCAATAAAATAAATAAATTAAATATAGATAAAATCAAAGCATAATAAGTGAAAACAAGTAAATAACAGAATAAAGAGAAATGCCGGTAAGTGTCCAGCACTCTGGAATAGTGATTTTCAGTACAGAAGAAATTATTATACGTATTTACAAAGTGATGAATAGTGTGTGATATTTTTGAAATTATGTGTTTCCAGGAATAAATGATAAAATATATGATGATGCCTGATGAATATCGATGATGTTATATGATAAAATGTGCGAAATGGAACCTATGATAATCAAAACCATGAGTCGAAACCATATTAAGGTACGTTACAATCCCTCAGGCACCTAACATTTTCCGGGATAAAAAAAATATCCCATGTGAGACATCCCCCATCCGATGTGAAACATAGGACACTTTTATCCCGGAAAATGTTAGGTACCTGTGGGACTCTTAAAAATCTTACCATAATCTAGGTAATAAATTATGTGTGCCAAAGGTCATGTTGTATTATTGTATGGGGGCTAGGCTTTAACAGTGAACAGAAAGGAAATTATATTATTTGCTGAAAAGATACATCTCTTGCAATGTTAAATTATATTTTTTAAACAACATTTTATTTTACCGCAGCCAAAACATTAAATTTTTAAATTTGTAATGTTTTTTTATTATTGTTATGAAAGATTTATAAAAATAAAAATGTTTTATTACCTTGTAACACAGTCCAAATATAAAATTACATTGAAATAGAGATTCAGACAGATTTAATCAAGTTCAGTACTCACACGTCAATGTTAGGGAACGGAGCCTCGCAGAAGGAACACCTGGGTTCGGCGTCTTCGCGTTCTTCTTCTTCGGCTATAGAATACTTGTTGGCTGCTGGCAACTCTGGAAGCATCATAAAGACAACTGAATAACACGTTTATCATGATAAAGAAACATTTTCATTCATAGTTGTAGCATTAAAAACGTCAATTGGTAGATACATTTATCTTATGATTTTATGAATGAAGATAATGATGGCTACAGTAGATATAATACCTAGATAGTAGAATGATAAATGTTCTAAATACAAAGTCATTAAAACCGTCATATTTTGATAATCTCCACAGATTACTAACAAACAACTCCAAAGTCCCTATTCGTTGAGTAATAAATAAGTTTACAAGTAATCTATATAAAAAAAAATCGTGTCACAGTGTTTGTTATCGATCTCCCCCCAAATGGTTTTATAATTTTTTATGAACTTTTTTGTGTATTTGGTAGTCTAAGAAGTTCGTAGGCTTTTTTAGCCCCTATATAGGTGGATACAAGAGTGACCTTCTCTAGATATTATGGAAAATATTTTGCCTTCTTTTTTTATGATTTGACATCAAAAATACTTATAACCCTTTCATCCTTCTACCACCAACCCCTATTTTTATAGCAGTTCGAAGTTTGCTGTGTCAGCAGATCTATAACATAATTATGGGAGATGTTACCTTTTTCATTTCCCTTAATGCATATTAAGATGTAGTCAGGGTACTATTTTATGCGTTTTGAATAGAAACCAGAATAAGGGAACTATTTTGAGATCAGAATAGTAATTGAAGTACTGAACAAATGTCACATTCAATATATCACAAGAAATAATAATCATCATCATCATCAGCAGCCTATTAATGTCCCCACTGCTGGGGCACAGGCCTTCCCTACGGATGGAATAGGGAGATTGGGCCATGAACCACCACGCGGGCCCAGTGCGGATTGGTGTGTGCTGGCGACTGCAGATGCAGCTGGAACCAACGGCTTAACGTGCCATTCGAAGCACGGAGGAGCTCGAAATAGTAAATTATTGGTCACCTATCCAAGGACCGACCACTGCAAAAATTGCTTAACTTCAACGATCGCAGCCGAACGCGCTTACCACTTACGCCAACGAGCTCCTCAAATAGAAGAAATAATAGTGGATGGGCAAAAATCAATACTAGCAGCTAAGAGTGAGTATATAAACCACATAAATTATTATGGCAGCCATGACAACAAACATGATATAAATCAATAGAAAGCCAGCAATTAAGCCTAGAACGCGGAGCAGGACGCATAACTCTTTGGGTGATGCTGCATATCGCCTTATTTATACCACCAGCCTGGAGAGTTAACTTTCCTATTTGTTAAGAAGAACCTCGAACGAAGAGTAAAATTTCTAAAGTAAAAATAAACTAAGTAATATTAAGTCCAAGATTAAAAAATTCGAAGAGATTTCATCGTAAAAAAACAAGTTTTAAATTTGAAGAAAATTTTACTAGAAAACAATCCACGCGGACCATGCAGCAGACGGGACTCGAACCTTTCGCTCCCGCGAAGAACCCAAACCGATTTTTTCTAGTAAAATTTTCTTTAGATTTAAACATCTAGCAGTTAAATACTTATAAAATTAAAATATATGTTTTAAATTTATGTATAGCTGTAGTAGACGATAACAATAGTTAGCTATGAATGCTTCGTTTTTAATTAATCTGTAGATATCTTTGTTAATTTACAGACACACCAGTTATGTAGAACACATTGAAGTCAAATTTTAATTTATAATATTATACTGCTGTAGGTGAGTGTAACTAAGTTTATAAAACTAAATAGAGTTTCATACATAATTAGAAAGTTAAGGTGCTAGTTATATAGTAATATGGTGTGAAAACGATATAATTCATCCAACACATGCATTGATGACATAAAAAACAATCCATAAAACTGATAATTTTGACGATTAAAGTAATCATCATCAAAATTCGTCATGATTATCCGTGCTAAAATGAGTTTGTTTGTTTTCTTGGTTGTCTGTTAGTTTTATTAGCTAGTCTTAGGTGCCTGAGGTATTTTCAAAAAACTAAAGTTAACCCGGACGAAGTCGCGGGAGGTCGCTCGTAAGGAATACATTGAAAAAAGACGTCATTCGAACTTATACAATAAATTGATGAAATTAAATGTACCACTCTTCACGACAATCGCGATCACGGGAAGCGGTCGATTCTAATCGGCTTATTGATTTAAGTGACTTGACGCAAACAAACAATTGATTAGAAATCTTTGAATGCTATTAGTATACTTATCATGTAATGATTCAATAGCGAATTATTATAAACATAATTCTGTGGCAGTTAATTTTTCCATTGACTCAAAATATTTCTGAACACATTGAAATCAAGTTTAAACATTCCTATTATATTTTATTATACAGAAACTTTTGCACCTTCAACGTCTACTTAGTATATTTTATCAACGTATCAACTTCAATCTTTTATTTGACAACTTAATAATTGAAAAATATTTTTTCCGATTTAGTTTGATCAACGTTTCAATAGTTTTTTTTTTTAATTCGGTATAATACGTATTTACTTAGTTTGATTTTATTTTAAGCTCAAATTCATGTTAATTTATTCAAAGTGGGGCACTTATTCGATGCTGATATTTTAGGAAAACGATTTGCCCTATATACATTTTATAATAAGTATACTTGTCATGCCAAAGTGGCAAACGTAGGCATGAATTTATTTATATTGTTTAAAACTGATGTAAAAGTAAGATTATTATATATCAGTTTGTATGTTTGTATATATCAATATGAAGTAATTTTATTGAAAATTTAAAACCTCTTAAACGCAATCTTAGCAGTTGACAATAGGCCTTTATATTTTCCACGCAATCGTAACACAAACAAAATCATGACATTTCATGAATGTCCGTTTGTGAATTTATGATTATTGCTGGGCGTCGCTCGGTCGGATCGGAAGTAACGCGCACCATTGCATTGACACTCGCTGAATTAATCCAGTCACGACTGCCACGCCTGAAGCATTGTCTAACCAGCGTGATAACTTGAGATAGGTTAACACGACGTTTGATACCATAGCGCAAATATGAATATTTGCAAATGCTAATAATGGTCGACGAAAACGCGCACGCGCCAAAGCAATGAATAGTCTCGTTACATTTTGAACTTGAAATTAGAAAAACTTAAAACTCCATAAATAGATATCACACGATGCCATAAAGATGCTAATGAAAAAAAGAATTTAAATTTGAACGTTTTTTAGTTATAAACTGAACTGTTGATGATACTGACCAAAAATAAAAACAGCAAATAATAAATTCACTTTTAAACAAGAATTTTTAAATTCTTTAGCAGGCAACATTAAACAAATAAAAATCTGATTAAAACCCAAATCCGAGCAAACGCTACATAGACGAAGGTTTTAGAAAATAAGGTAATTGCAATTTCAAACGTCAATAATGTTAATAATAATATAAAATGGTTAATAATAATGAACTGAACATACAGTAAAGACTTTTTGATTACATAGCATTTAAAACATATTAATTAAACCTATAAGACAACCGCACCCAGAGACATATATTTAATGTAACGTTTATTGCTATTGCAAAATAAGAGAAAGCAACCACACTTCAAAAATTTCAATCTCTGAGAGCGGCCATAACCCAATAATTGTCCTGTCAAAATATCAACTTTGATATTCAAGTCACGTGAAACAAAAATATTTTATGTGTACATTATAAAAAAAAAACTAATATAGCCAATGTAAATCCAAAAGAAAAACATTCACTTGCCTATATACGTACCTCTTTTAAACCACAAAGCAAAACAACTATCTTTTCATCAGAACAGAAGCCCAAACTTTTCGGAAGTTAAAACAGCACGGAATCACCAGGATGCTCAAGAGAAGCAACCCACAGGTCAACTCGACAGTATATGATGGTGTCAGTATTGTACCGAACAATTATCGGGGCAGGTCGCCCCCACCCCACCTGGGAGGGTTAATATGCTCACTTGACCCGCCACTCGCATTGGGGAAAACTGAAAATCATCTGTGCGTGTCGCATCGACCGTTCGCGTTTTTAAAACTGTTAAAATTATGTAATTATCGCGATTTACTTCGAAATCAACGACACACTTGTAGCGTAAGTAGATAAGCAAACATCGATTCGACGACAATGCAAGCAAGTTCGAATCCTGGTTGGGACATTGATTTTCATGTTTTAGATGTTTAGTATACCTACTATTTGGGATTTAATACATCTAAGTTTATTTTTCCACTCACTGAAGTGAGACACTGACAAGACAGATAAATATAATATAATTAAGTACTCCATAATCTGATTACTTATCAGAAGTTAGTAATTACGTCAATAATTCTTGGTGTAGTACACTTACAGAGCAGAGCTTTTTCTCTTAGTTTAGCTCGGACAAGTAATTTACTCAGTTATCTCATAGATTCACTCAATCTTATTTAATAATAGTCATGAAACTTTGAATTTCGATACTTACACTACAATGTATGTGTTATTAGTACGAAAGGAGATTGCTCAGCTTCCATACATGTTTGGCCTAAAGACCAATAATCATGAAAAATTGTTTCCTACATTCGAAATTATATATAAATTACTGTAGAAACGAATATTATTGACGGACACCCCTGAGAACTTCTATAAACCGTATACACTGAACATATTAAAATAATAAAAAAACAAATAAGTTACCTATATAGTAAACTAGGGAAATCAAGCCAAGTACCGAAGTTATGGATTAGATTCAGGTATATAGAGCATGTAGATTAACAGATAGTTACCTGTTTTTAAAGTTAATGCCTGATTTTAAAAGAGTAACTTTTAAAATCAGGTGTCATTTCCGGTTATAATAAGGTACTCTGTTACAGAAACTGTGTGATGATTGTGAATGAGCCACCGATTAGAGAGAATTTTTAAAATCTCGTTAAAAGAAAGCTAAGAGATTTAGGTTTTATAGCCATATATTCAGTAGCTTCATTATTTTTGTTATGTTTTTAAGATAACCATATTTTAGATTTTTAGTGTGTCACACCTTATAATTTTAT